CCCCGCAGGGCTGCACCTGCCTCCCGGGGCCCCCTGCCCTCTCCACGTCCCCAGAAGATGTCCCTGCTGTCCCACTCGGGGGAAAAGGCCCCAAGACCCCTTCGGCTCAGTCTAACTTGTAATAGACACGAATGAAAATGCAGGTTACAGCGCGATGGTTCAGATGACAGCGACCCCTTCGGTATGACTTCCAATAAAAGATAAAGCGGCTGCCCTGGCCGGTGTGGCTCAATGGATAGAGCGTCGGCCTGCGGGCTACAGGGTCCCGAGTTTGATTCCCGGTCAGGGCATGTATCTGGGTTGCAGGCTCGATCCCCAGCCCTGTTCTGGGTACGTGTAGGAGGCAACCCGTCGATGTGTTTCTCTCACATTGATGTCTCTCTCTCTCTCCCCCTCCCTTCCACTCTCTCTAAAAATCATCGGGAAACTATCCTGGGGTGAGGATGAACAAAAAATAAGAACTACCAAGGGGAGTCTGCACCCAGTATCTTGGTTGCGTCATCCGGTGAACACGCAGCCCCAGGAGCCCAGCTCCGCCGCTGCAAACGCTGAGTCATGACGGTGAGAAGACGGGCGGACGGATGTCTCGGTGACTCAGGGCCTGAGGAGCGGCCAGTTCCAGACACCCGGCCTCCACTCCCAGGCCGCAGACACTGGTCTACGGAGACCGGAGGTCGGGGCCGGGAACGGAAGCGGCCGGCTCCAGATAACAGCGGCTCTTTCCAGCGCGGCCGCCGTGGCTCAGTGACTGAGCGTTGAACTATGAACCAGGAGGTCACGGTTCGATTCCCGGTCAGGGCACGTGCCTGGGTTGTGGGCTCGATCCCCAGTAGGGAGCGTGCAGGAGGCAGCCGATCCATGATTCTCTGTCATCATTGATATTTCTCTTCCTCTCTGAAATCAATCTATATATATATGTGTGTGTGTGTATTTTTTTTTTCTTTTTAAAGAAGAATTCACTAAAGTGGGCATCCCAGGGACAGGACGGGCAGCATGAGGGAGACTGGTTCTGTACTGTTGGGTGTTGCCCAGTATCCCACTGGGTACCCCAAGCTGTGGCTCTAGAGTTCGGTGAGCGTTTGGGGTGAGGGGCAGTGGGTAACGGCACAAAGACCCGTGTTCACAGGTGTCTGGTTTGTCCCTGTGGGGGGAGCAGGGGCCTCTGGGTTGGAGCCGGTGGCAGGCTGGCCCGGCTAGTCCTCCTCACGACCATCCCTTGTGCACAGCTCTTCCCAACTCCCAAGTTCACTCACATCCCACTGGCCGCCTGAAATCAGTGAGGTGGGGGTATTTACACCACAGGAAGTGGCAGCTACTTCAAATTGGCCTTTTCTCTCTGTTTTAATTTATTCTTTAAATGTATTTTTATCGATTTCACAGAGGAAGGGAGAGAGAGAGAAACATCAATGAGAGAGAATCATGGGTCGGCTGCCTCCTGCACGCCCCCTACTGGGGATGGAGCCTGCAAGCCAGGAATCGAACTGTGACCTCCTGGTTCATAGGTATATGCTTGACCACTGAGCCACAGCAGCCAGGCAGGCTCTACCTCTTCACTATTCTGGGGAGAAGCTCATCTCTGGGCCTGGCCTGGCTGCTCGTGAGCAGGGGAAGTGGCCGGGTGGCCGGCCTCGGGCCTGTCTCCCTGCCAGGACTGTCCCCTTGAATGATGACCGCTCATCTGGGGCCAGAGGGTAGGAGTGGAGCCTCGCTGTTCCCGGAGCTGGTTTCTCGTCCCTCCCCCGGGGGTGTGGGCCGGGACGGCCGGATGCCTTTGTCCCTGTGGTCGCCGGGAGCTTGGACGCGGTCCCTGGCCAGGCCCCGAGCCACCAGCTGGCTTCCTTCAAGGAAGACGCTATCTGTCTGCCGAGGGGCCTGTGGCAAGGACCGCGGGCAGCCTGCCTCCGGGAGGACCAGCTGCAGGGCGAAGAGCTGCGCTTCCTTTTCCGCCGAGAGGGGACTCTGGCTGGAGGGCAGCGGGTTTCGGCTCAGGGCTCCCCTGCAGATCGTCACCCTGTCCCCTTCCTGACTTGTTCCTCTCTCTCCCTCCTCTTTTTTTAAATATATTTTTATTGATGTCAGAGAGGAAGGGAGGTGGGGGGAGAGAGAAACATCTATAATGAGAAAATCATGCATCGGCTGCCTCCCGCACGCCCCCTCCTGGGGATGGAGCCCAAAACCCGGGCATGTGCCCTGACCGGGAATCGAACCGTGACCTCCTGGTTCATAGGTAGACGCTCAACCACTGAGCCACGCCGGCCACGCTGAGCTAATCTTTTCATCACCAGCATTAAAATGCAGCCAACCAGCTCACCCTTGGCTTTGTGTGCAAGGCCCCCGCCCCCCCTGGTGTACCCCCCACAGTGCATTGTGGCCCCGGCCGTTCACATGCGTGTAAAAGGCGCTTCAGGAGGCCCCACGCCTCCTGGCTGTCTGGCGCGTGGATGTGCGTGATGACAGATCTACCAGAGACTCCCGGGCAGTGTGAGGGGGGGCAGCACCCCCAGGCGGGTCAAAGGCGTTTTGATTTAAGAGGCGTTGCCCTCACCAGGTAAGTGCAAGCTCATGGAGCCCATGGACAGGGTGGTGTTGT